AAAAAACTCTAAGTAGTCGATTGCCAAGCGTTATTCCAGCACATCTTCAGCAGATTCATTTAAAATTATAGCTTAGGCTAGGCCATTTTAATGATGTCCATGCATGAAATCAGAAGTTATCCATTATTTTATTTAATTTTCTTTTTCTATTGCTCTTATATGGTCACCCTATATATACAACAGATATATAGTTCGAGTGTTTGTATATGTATTCAAATTGAAATATGTTTATTTATTAGACAAAGCTTATTAAGTTTTTCTCACGTCTATCTGCAGCTGCACTCAACTACACAATTCCCGCAAGCCTAAGTACATGCGATATATATACATAGATATATATATATATATATATACGTTAGGTACTGCTTTTACAAGACCTTGTTACATTTGTTTTCAATTGCGTCGCAGCTAGACGTGAAGCTAATTAACATAAACTCAACACAAAGTCAAGCAAAAAGCAGTCACAAATCACAAGCCACCCGCATCTACAACAACTCTGTCACTCTGTCTCTCTCGCTCTCTCTCTATCTCTCCCTCTCTCACTCACAGATTCAAATAAGTTGCTTACTTATCGGCGATCTGTAATTAGGCAGCTGGTAAAACCCAATGAAATAAGAAAACAAGTAGAAACACACATTTTCCAAGCTATCGATTAAACACGAAGGAGGCAGCGAAAGTTCTAGGAACCAGTCGCAACCAGTTGGCTAAATTGGTAACATGACGCCAGGCATTAAGGGCCGCACCCTGACAACCGCAGCCGTGAATGGAACCACCCAGCTGGACGTCCTTTGGGGAGTTGCCCAGCGCAGCCGGCGCGCCGGCTCCTGTTCCTCTTCTTCTTCTCCTTGTTGCTGTTTTCATTTGGCAAACAACTTCTGGCTGGACTTGTTATGCCCGGCGAGGTTGTCATGGAGAAAAAAAAATATAAATGAGCCGTGGCAACATACATGTACATGTATGTATCTAATGGACTGACAGCCATATAGAGCATTCGACTACTCTATCTGACCAAACCACATGCATATGGCATGGCCGGGAGTGAGCCAGCTATGGCCACATTGATTGCGCTTTTGCATGTGAACGCAAATCAAACTAAATGAAAGAAAAAACCATTTTATCGGCTCTACAAAACTGGAGCAAGCAGGCAGATATATAGCAGATACACACACATATATACATCTATGTAGGTATATGTATATGTGTAACCATATCTTATCTAATTTGCGCAGTTTGAGATAAAATGGGAAAATCAAAGCGCTGCAGATACCTTTTTCAGCCCCGCTTATCTGCGAGCATACGCTAGAAGCGAAACGCTGTGCTGTAAACATACGCGTAAGACCTGAGAATTTCAAAAGTCTGGCACAGATATCTCCGGTATCGAATCTACGATAAACTCGCATATTTTGTAAATATTTGTATTGATAGCGGTTTTTAAATTTGATCTGAACGTAAAGGAAAATGCTAGAAACCTGATATATGCTTAAGGTATCTATGTGGAATTATAACTAAAGATATGTTTTCTCATATCATATAATTCGTGTGAAAGGGAAAAGAAGCTAAGAATCCTTATCAACGATCCTATATTATTCAATAAAGGAATAATAAAAGAAGCTCAAAATCCTTATCAACGATCCTATATTATTCAATAATACTTTTCTATTATTTATCGCTTACTTATATACGTACTTATGTTCTCTTATACTTATAGGATAGATTTTGATAAAGGAAATTGCAGAAAGCCTTTGCATATAGTTTTGATTAAAACGATTTTTCTAAGCGATTATTATAAAATAATAATTTATGCATTATTAAATTTAAAAATGTTTTTAAATTTAAAATATATAAAAGAAATAAAAAATATAAATAATTATGCAAGATAAAAAACTAATTTGCATTAAAAAATTAAATATATATATATATATATATATACATATATATATATATATATATAAATAATGAATTAGTAGTATTAAATATATTTTAATATTTATATACGAAAGAAAAATCGAAATTTTTTTCAAAATATTTCTTGAATATAACTAGCAGAAGCTATTTTGAAACTAATAATGAAATGGTTTATGTGCCTATTGGACTTCAAAGTTCTTAGTTTATATATATATATATATATATATATATATATATATATATATATATATATATATATATATATAGCTACGAATGACTAACTATGTGTTATAGTTATAGATACATCTAGGCATTTGTTTGCTAATGAGCTCAACTTTTTCAACTTTTAAGCCAGTTTGTCAATAAGTTCTTAGCACAATTTGAATTGTTTATTTAAGTATTTTCGACTTTTTCTTTTTCTGCTGTTATTTGCTTAAGTTGTTGCCTTATCTTTATTGCTATGGGCAATTTTTGCATAAAATCTCTCTCTATAATTGAGAACTTATCGCCTCAAGACTGATTAAGCATATATGAGTTTAACTGGCGACTGATCAGGCTATAAATTACATTAGCGGCTTACCTTGAAGTATAATGAAGTATTCCTTTATCAGATAGTTTGATATATGTATATATAGATTTTTAATTGCTACTTAGGCATTTGAGTGCATTACTTTAACTATTCCCATGCGTTGTAATCAGCAGAATTTATGGAGTGCACTTAATAACATAGCACTAAACACACACTTGCACACACACACACACACGCACACGAGCACCCGCAACCACTTTCCTTGTTTAGTAGCAGAACTCTCTAAGCGTGCTGTAGATGGCGCCACTTAGCGTTGACGTCTTATAAAAAGTGCTGCAACAGCAAAAGTTATTGAATTTTCAGTTTAACTTCTTATTTCTTTTTTTCTTATTTGCTGATTATAGCACTCGCCATGGAGCCCTTAATTAATTTGCATTAAATTTTATTTCATATATTTTTTATTTGAATATTTTGAAATCAGGTTTCTGAATAACGCTTTTGTTGTTTTGCTGGGCTGCTTAACACTCGCGACGACTGCGACTGGCGCTCGCAACAGACGCGTATCGAATGGAGAGGCAGCCAGAGACGAAGCCCCGCAACGAGCGAGCGCATGAGCCGCTCCAACCTGTGCGTCGGCGTTAACGTTGACGTCGCCGTCGACGTCGAAGTCGAAGTCAATGTGGACGTTGACTGCGCGTCGTGTCGCCTTTGCGCTGCCGACGCAACCAGTTATGAAATTTAGACTGTGACCCTTAGTAACTGGGCAACCATTCAGTTGTTGTTTTTCTTTAAATATGTATTTTAAAAGATATATTAATATAGGTACGTGAGATCGCATAAGTAAGTGCGACTAGCTGCAACTTGCCGAAGATTATTTACCCTAAGCTGAGCTGTCGATTGTTTCTATGGATACCATTTTAGCAGGCTGTGATTGGTATATGTCTAAATATATAGATTCTATATTAGTATATAGTTGTGTATATATATATTAGGGTAATAATAAAGCTTAGCTTAGCTATTATTTTGAATGTTTATAAGAGAAGGTCCATACATTTCTTTATATACACATTTCATTCTTCACGCATATTTCATGACTGAGTTGTATGACTCTCACGAAGAGTATATAGAATATAGAGTATATTACATGTATTTCAGACCACTGTGCCAATGCTAGCGCTGCGCTTTTCGCGTGTTAAAAAAAGAAACATAAACAAAAAAAGTTTATACAGAAACATTTTTTTATGCTTTTTGGCAATATCAGGTTTTTGATTGTTTTCATTTTAGCTGCTAGAGTCAGTCAACTCTTCTTCTTCTTTGCTTAGTGTTAACAAAATTGGGAGTCTCTGCTGTAAAGTTGGAGAATCGCGGGCGTCTTGTGTGTGTGTGTGTGGGTGTGAATGATGTTGAGTGACGCATGTAAATGTTTGACAGGTTTCATTTGTTGCACAGCTGTGTGAAAACTTGACGCCCCTCGTTTTGTTGTTGCTGCTTTGTCAGTTAGTGGGGCCTTTGGCAACTTGTTGCTGCATGCTCCATAGACAGCGCGTCTCTTTGACACCTGACGCGTGTGTCCAAAGACTTGTGATGTCGTGCATTTGTCGCAGCCATCAAAATAGAATTGCTTCCGCTACTGATATTTATTTAAGACAACTAAGAAATTTACATAAATTATAAGAGAACAGGAAATGGGCGTGTCTGAACTGCAGCAGCAGCAACTTAATTAAACACCGACGCGTGGCAAATATTGAAACAGAGAAATCTAGACAATGATCAGACCAGATCGGCTCACCCACACAACAGACATTAATTATAGCTAATTGTTGCTCAAATGCAAACAAAACATTTGTTAAAAATTATAAAAACATGGTATGAAATTTGACGCAAATCTAAATTATTATAAAAGCCGAATGTCGAATGTATACAGAAAAGTAAATTAAATTTCCAATGGCTGTCTGCTAATGTGGATACCCTATAAAGAGATGAGTCTCCTGGAAGAACTAACCTAAATTGAATATTATAAATCCATTAAAACTCTTTTTATGATTTAAAGTCTTACATTATAGCCTCCGTAGGCGTGTATCGAGAGGGCTCGCACGATCCAATCAACTTTAATGCAATGCCTTAGGGAGCCAATTTGGCTATCAGTGTTTCCAAGACAACTGCTCCGCTTTGTCGCGCTTCTCCACGTCTTGGTTCGGCTGTCAAATGAGCTTAAAAGCCTCTGCCTAGTTTTAAGCGCAACGATTTAGCCACTTTTACGCCACATCTTGAGGTGTGCCTACTTTTTTTGCCGCCACTGTGCAGTATTCACAGAGTAAACAGTTGATGACTTTTAGTCTATTAATATTATTATTTTATTATTATACCTTTTATGTTTTATTAACTTTTTTAGTTTGTAGGCTCATTCTTCAATTTTTTAATTTTAAATGAATTTAATAAAATGTGAAAATGTAATTAAAATAATGTAAAATATTTTTTTATATTTTTGCATAAAGACGCTGGCATTAGCCATCAGCAGCTTAAGTCACATTCTATATATTCAGTTATAGATATATATATAAAATATTTATTTAAATGTCCAGTAAGTGGATTCGGGCACCACCATTGAGGTTTGTATATGCGCGAGACTGCGGCAGCCAGTCAAGGCCATTGTGATGTCAAAGTCATTCCTGAGCAATTTCAATAGATGCTCGACGCCACGTTGGCCGTCGCAGGCTAGGGCCCAGATGACAGGACGACCTATGAACACCATTTGGGCGCCCAGGGCCAGAGCTTTGAATATATCATTGCCCTCCGTAATGCCGCCATCCAGCATGACAACCAGATCAGGGCCCACGGCTCTGACAATCTCGGGCAGTGCCTCAATGGTAGCTGGCGTCGAGTCCAGTTGGCGTCCGCCATGATTGGAGACAATGACACCGGCACAACCGAACTCACGCGCCAGCTCGGCATCCTCGGCGGTAAGTATGCCCTTGACGACAATCGGCAGTTGCGTGAGCTGCTTCAGCCACTTGATGTCCTGCCAGGTGACGGTGGAGTCAAACTGACTGGCCACATACTCGCTCAGGCCTGAGTCACCCGCAGCTGACACCACGTTGCACTGCGCACCCTGGAAGTTGGCCAGACTCAGGTGCGCTGGCAAACTGAACTTATTGCGCACATCAGCCCGACGTTGGGCAAAGACCGGAGCATCCACAGTCACGACAAGCGCCTTGAAGTCAGCCTGCTCCGCACGACGCACCAGGCTCTCGGTGAGTGCCCTGCACAGGTGAATCTCAGGCAAAGTCTACCTTAGTTGCAGCTCAGCTTACCGATCTTTGTAGATGTATAGCTGAAACCATTTGCAGGTATCCGGTGCCGCGGCAGCCAGATCCTCCAGCGAAGTGGTTGAGAGAGTGCTCAGAATGAATACGCAGCCAGCCTTGCCGGCAGCTCGTGCACTGCCTTTCTCGCCGTCCAGATGCGCCATCTTTTGCATGGCAACCGGCGCAATGCCTAGAGGCCATTTCAAGTGTTGTCCCCAAATGGAGCAACTCGTATTCAGCTCTGCAATGTTACGCAGGCAGCGTGGACGTAGGCGCAACCTATTTGTTATATAAGGGATTAAACCAGAGTCAAGGTATCTTTTAGTTGTGCACTCTCAACTATAGCAATATTTAAGTACTTTAAGTTCAAATGATCGATTCACATTATTGACAATAATATTAAAATGTATATCTATATTTTTGAAATACTTTTCAATACGAACCGCTTAAAGGCCTCGCGATTATAGCCAAGCGTCAATTCCTCGCCAGCTCCACTTTTGTAATAGTCGAGAGCATTGAGCTCAAGCTTCACAATTGCCTGTTTCTCAAAGTCGGCTACAGAAATAAATGACATTTGAATGTAGATGCAAGTACTTGGGTCTACTGAACTGTTATTATTCTAATTATTATTATTTTTATATGAAGACACGTCTTAATAGGCTTTGTGATGTGCTGAAAGTATTTGCACTACGCTTGCTTTTATATATACTAGCCAGGAGCGATGGGTGCAGCTTGCAGTCCATAGACAGATATACTGGGAAATGCATTGTAAACAAGTCGGCAGTGCTCGACTGATAGACACTCAATATAACCACATATAGCCAAGCTACTATGGAATATAAGTTATTATATATGAACTTCTCGCTTTTAAAAGAAAAAAGCAAATGTTTAAGGCAGGGCAGGGTATAAAAATAAAATACATTGATATATAATTTGATATTATAATATAATATAATATGATACCATATAATATATATATATAAATATATCAAATTAAGCTTATATTATTTCTATCTGAAAACTCTCTTTTTTCTTTACAAATATTTCCTAAAAAGTATTAAAAATATTACGAACTAAACAAGAATTTAAATATGCAAAAAGAATCCAAATCACACATAAATATATAACTAAATATATGTATAAATATTTATATAAATATAAGAAATATGTTTACATTAATATAAGTATACCAAGTGGAATTAGTTATAGAGCAGCTGTGGTTCGACGTTAAGTCGAATTTTTTGTTTACTATCAACAGTTGCTTTGGAGCACATTCTAACCGAGGCTATAAAGACGAACGTCGTTCTAATGGCCTCGGTCAGTCGACTGAAGCAGCTGCTACATGCAAGTTTTATGTATCGTAATATTCTATACAAGAGTATAAGACTAGAAAATTTCAAGAAAATGGAAACCAAAGGAATCATTAGCAGGGAAACTGGTAAGTACTTACTTCCACTACTTATAAGGTTATTATTATGTATACGAAACTTAAGAAAAAGTTTCCTTTCGAAATGCAGTTGGATCACAATGACATCAAGTTCTATTGCTATGAAATTGCCGGCGAGTTTCCATATCAAATTATAGTCCCCAGGCATGCTGGAAGAAGATCAGTAAAAAGATCTCGAAATAGGCATTAGTTCGGGTCACAGACTACGCCTCCTGATATTCTAGCCCTTGTCAACGGTTCGCAATGCTGAGTAAATATGCATTCATAAGGAATCTATGTCTTGGGTACTTTCTCTTATATCTTTTACAGTGAAACCTAGCGCATCATTGACTGCCTAAATCCTGCTAACTGAACAGTGAGTGAAGCATATATGGATTTTAAATATTATCTGGCTTGCCTATGCTCTTAGCATGGCATTAAAGGATTCAACAAATGTTGTGCATTGACGGAAGCAAAGCTATTTGAATAAACTTTATTTGGAATGTAAATTTAAAATTATCTTGAAGGAAACAATAGTATTTAAACTGGCAAGCTTAGACTAAGAATTAAACTAATTTATCTACTAAATATATTATCATAAAAAAACTTAATATTTAACACAGACATAAAGCTTAAATGCATTAATAAAACTAAATCAAAGAAATAGAATAATTAAATAAATTATAAGCAAAGATAAGAAATAGTCCTAAAATAAACTGCAACTAAAATCGGATAAATATAAAGAGATTATTATAAGTTATAGTGTATATACATATAAATATTATATCAATAGAGTATTACCTAAAAAGATGTGAACATATATATAAGATGACTATCAATCGAGTGTTAAGTTTTAGATAACTTATTTATTTGCATGTTACATTGGGCTGATAATCAAACTGAACAATAAAATCTTGTTAATAAATTATTTGAAAATAGTTAACATGAAACAAAGTGAAAATGCAAACTTGATTTAAGTAGAGCTACAGTTAGCTGGCTAAGACTGCAGCGAATCAAAGAGCTTGCCAAGCAGATCCTTCAGCTCGGCAGCAAAGGGCAAGTCGTCAAATTGTTGCGGTCGCTCCGCTTCCATAGACGTCAGGTGATCCCAGAGTACTGTCAATTGTTTGACCAATTTGGTGCCACGCAGCATGGCTCGGCATTTGGCGCTAAAGCCAAATAGTTTCCACAGACAGAGAACAACGAGATGGTGCTCCACGTACGAGTTGATACAGGTGTCTCCGCCACCGTTGCCATCCTGCACCGGCTGCGAGACAATGTCCCGCAGAAAGTCCGTGAAGCCTGTCATGTTGACCAGCAGCATGCGATTGTGGTTACTGAAGCACATGTTGCGCACGATGCGCAGGCAGCGCAGGCGCAAATTGCTCAGTGGCGGCGAGCGACGGATGAGATTGAGTAGCGCCTGGAGATGACAGATCTTATAGCCCAGCTCGTACCTGGAGAACACCTCCCAAAAGGCTATCCAGCCAAGTAACACTTCCGGCTTGACTTTGCTCGAATTGCTGCTGGTAGCTGGCATGATCGTGTCAAACATGTCCAGCACACGCATCTTACCCAGACTGAGGCGACCTTCGGCACAGGAGCAGCAGTTGATCATAACTCGCAAAGCGGCCTCAATAATTGAGTCGGAGCTGCACTTGGCGAAGTCCGGCTTGACGGTGGCTCCTTCTTTTTTGGTCGACTCATGATCCGCCACGCGCACCATTAGCTGCAGCAGCGAGTGTGACTGGCTCGAGAGCACCTGCGACGTCTGTTTGCACATCTCAAAGGAGTGCTCGGTGAGCAACGTAGTCAGACGCACGGTCATATGCTTCAGCACCGCCGAGTGCGACAGCCAAGGCCATAGACGAACGATCACTCTGACAACCCTGGCGGCCATCACGGGCTCCGTAATGACGGTATGCGGCGTATTCTGCCAGTGCATCAGCATGTTGAGCAATATTAGTAAGTTGTTGATAATGTCGCGCGATTTGTGAGCGCCCACGCGCCGCACATACACTGTGGCATTGCCAATGTTGCTGTCGTCGAGGAACGCTTCAAGCAGATGTATAACACGTTCCAGCAGCTTGAAGTGGCGCGCAGCGTCCGCCGCCCAAGCCGATTGCTTCAGCAAATTGCCGAGCACCTCGCAGATCTGGACATGGCTTTTGGTAGGACCTTGCAGAAAGCTATATGTCTTGGATGGATAGTGGATCTCGAACAGCCGGTCAAGGCTGTGGTAGAGCAAAACAGCGGCGTTGGTAAATTCCTTCGGCTGGCTAGCGCCGACGCAATTTTGCCTTAGTTTGACTGCCAAGGGTTTCTGCTTTGCCACTGGCTTTAAGCTCAATATTTTAAGTTGTTTGTTTAAATCATTTGTATTGTTCTCCTTGTCATAGCTGTCGCTGTCAGTCTCCTCCTCTTCTTCCTTGTCCTCGTCACTTGTGTGCGATTCCTCCACATACGCTTCAAACACGCGAAGTAAGTTGTGCTCCTCGGATGCGTCTTGTGCCTTTATCAGGAGCAGCGAGAGCGCTAACAGCGTGTATTTCTGAACCGCACGATCTATAAGAATCTGGTTTAGACCGTACAGCAGCAGATCGAACAGCAGCTCCGGATGTACCTTGAACTTGTCGCACAGAAAACCATAGGCATTTGCATCCTTACAGAACACCATTAGCAACTTAAGAATTTCAACGAGCTGATGTTCCGACACCACCTTCTGGTCGAGCACATCGTTAATCAAAGAAAAATAGCTCTTCAACAACACAGGATCACGGCAGATGCTGCGCTGTAAACAATTAAAGTTGTGTTGGTAACACATCGCATACAGCTTGCAGATTTGTCCAGCGCAGAGCTCCAGGTAGACACTGATGTGGGGCTTGCTGGGTGTGGGCATCTTCAGTACATCGCTAAGCGCATTGAAGAACGCATGACCGCAGAGTGCGGAGCACCAGCTTGGCTCGTGCATGATCAAAGTAACACATATGCTTATGCAACAGGTAATGAATTCAAACGAGGAATTCACACCGGCCTCCTGCTTCTTATCTGGCGACATCTGCAGCGAGACAATTGCTGCGTGAGCGTGCTTTAGGAATGAGTGATAGCTGAACAGCTCGGTGCAAGCTGTGGCCCCAATATATGGTATCAACAACTCAAAGACTCGTCCCGCCAGCTCACGCACCAACAACGCCTCGTGGCCGTCCAGCATCGTGCTAAGACAGCATGCAGCCAGGCCTCCTGGCAGAAAATCATGAAAGTCGAGCAAAATGCTCGTCATATTGTTGCCGGCATTTTTTACCCAATTACCCATTGCCACCCAGGCCAACGAGCGCACCTCGGCATCAGTGTGGCCGCACAGACCCAACAGATAGCGCAGCACCTTGTTGCCACCGAGCATCTTGCTGCATGATGGAGCCAGCAGCTTACCATGGGTTTGCATCTGACAGATAATGAACAAACAGTCGCGTTGCCATTGGGCGCCGGTTTGTGTGGACGTGCGCAGGTTGCTCGACAGCTGAACATAATGATTATAATAGGCCTGCAAGGGAAAAGCAGTTTAGTCTGTTCATATTTGAAATATCTATCTGCTTACCTCTGTTTTGGAGCTGTCTATGTGCAACGGGCGTTCACTGAGGTCTCGAAGGACGCCCAAAACGCAGCGGACGTGCTGCAGCTTGCGCTGCTCGAAGAGGGAACGCGCCCGTGTGCTTAGCTCATCAAAGAGTTTGCTCTGCCAAGTGACGTTGGGCTGATGGCGCTGCCAGCGCAATAGCTGCACCAAAGACTCCGTGACCAGGCTCAAGAGATTCAATGAGACATTGTCATCGCGTAGAATCTCCAAGAAACTATGATGAGGATCAGTTTCGAGGGCATTGTTCAGGCCAGCGAGCACCTCTGGCAAGCGATGACGCAAACAGTTCAAGCACAACTCCAACAAAGCAATATACAGCTCAAGATCTGCACAATTGCCGGGAGTGAGCCGCAGATACTTATGCATAAGCTTCCACAGATTACTGCACTGAGGCGGCTGCATATCGCCGCGCAGCAGCACCAGAAACAACTGAATACTGGCGACGAGCTGCTGAAGAGTTTCGTGGCTGCTGCAGTTGCTGGCGGCCATTAGTTGGTTCTGCACCTGCAAGTGCACGAGCGATGCATGAACGAGTGCCAGATCTGCCGGCTTCAGCTTCAGCGTCTCTTTAATATCCAGTCCGTGAACGTCCGACAGCGCCAGATCCTCCGGCGAGCCGCATACTTTGTGTGCCACAAAAAGGCGCCAATGCTGAGCTTCGATGGCAGCATTATTCTCGAAGTGTTTCACCAGCAGGTGCTGCTGCAGTGCCAGTCCCTCGGTGGCAGCTGTCGGTGGTACGGTATGGTCCAGATCATAGCTGACCGGCACAACCATGTCAGAGAGATCAACGTCCAGCTTAAGACTATCATCGGCAGGCGTCATATGCTCATGGAAAAGCAGCTGGAATATGCAGATGCTCACTTCGGCACGCAACTGCGTCTCGTGCGGCAGCAGGAAAAGACAGCGAAGCAGACAGACCAGCATCTCTGCGTTGTCCTTGAATTCGTGACGAAATCGTTCGCTGCGGAAAAGCACTCTAAGTAGAATACTGACTGCCGGCAGCAGCGTTTCGGTCTCTTCACTGCCTCCGGCCCTGTCACGCAATAACGGATCATGAAGCGCCTTCAAGCAGAGCACATAGGCGCCGTCGCAGGTGGTGAACAAGTCCACAGCTTCCCAGCTATGCAGCAAAACGTTCAGCTGTATGAGAGTAGATTTGCGTATGCTCGACTTCAGATCGCGTGTCTCCAGCAGGCGCAACAGCGTCAGCAAGCTGCGTGTAAATGGCAAATGCGAGCGCTCGCTAAATATGCTGTAGTAGTTGACTGGCGGCTGAATAACACAAACGTCGTGGCCAATTAAGTCTAGGCAGAGCTTATCCATGGCGGGTCGGTATTTGTGCTGATGATCCTGCCAGACCAGGATGTAGGCAATCCGACCGATAGCATCCTTGCGAAACTTGGCATCCGGATGAAACATGTAGCAGACATTGCCACGCAGCGCTTGCGGCGGCTCCAAATATTCGCTATCCGGATCAAGTAACTCCCAAAGCATATGCTGCAGCTGGGGCTGGTTGATGGCACGACACACGAGCAGCGGCATCACTGGCATCACAATTTTGAACATTTCGTTAAAGTCCTTAGACGATACCAGCTTCGCGAGTCCCACCAACATTATCAAGTAGTCAATGCACCATTGCTGCAGCTGCGGCGGCTCCTCGGGCCGCCAGCCCTGCACGAGCAACTTGCGCAGCAGCTGTGAGCTCATTGGCAGGCCAAGAATTTGATTTTTGGCTAACTCAATATTATTACAGCCGGCCAAGTAGTTAGTGCTGTTCATGAAGGCGTGAAAGTGATCCACAACGGGTTGCTTCAGCTGACGCAAGGCGCAGTTGCGCAATTCTTCATCGGGCAGGTCGAACAAGGTTTGCAGCAGCGACTCCGCCTCATGGCGCAGCTCTGGCTTGACTATGTAAAAGCTGGTACATTTGATAATTGCTTGAATTAGCTGTTTCATCAGGCCCTTGCTGCCTAGCAAAAGCAGCACCAAACATATTTGACGCTGCTCTTGCAACAGTTCTATGGCCGACAGTTTTGTTTCATCCATCAACTGAGCAAGCGCCAGGCTATATGCCTGTTTAAGGCGCATAATTTGCTGCTCCTCGGGCGCCGCCTCAGGGGTAACTATACCGCATAGATTGCACAGCTCGTGCATGCGCAAGGGCACACAGGACAAGTAGGAACTGTCCAGGATTAGTGGATGTAGCAATGTGCGGGCGGTAGCTTTGTCAATGCTTCCAGTGGTTGACAAACTCAATGCAATAACATCCAAGAGCAGACCATTAAAGATCAGCGATTCCAATCGAGGGATCATCAACTTTTTCACCAAGTTCGGTGTCTCGCTAATGTGTGCCACATCAAAGCTGATGCAGTAACGTATCAGCTTAGGTGCAATCAGTCCCAGTCGCTGCACAATATTCTCCGGTATTGCAATACCGATCTGGCCATAGGTCTTAATCGCCTCAACACTCAGCTCAATCAGATGCCAGTTATGGCTGCAATGTTCCAGCAGCGGTGGCCCAAGCAGCTCCAAACAGCCATTCAGTAGTAGCGTCAAGACACTCGAAACGCGCAATTGCTGTGGCAACATTGCTTGCGACTTAACACTCAAATCGAAGTCAAGTGATTTGCTGCGAACGCGAAGACGGCGCTGCAGCAACCTAACGAAGGTCAAAAGCGTCCGGTTGACGTGCAACAGCGTTGCATCTGCCTGTAACTGCTGCACATGCAGCAACTGAAGGAATATATACGGAGCCTGAAAAAGCTGTTCGGCTGGATAATCGCACAATTTGATTTGCAAGCTGGCCAAGTTCTCTTGCAGCTGCAAATCGTTGCCAATGGTCAAGGTATCCACGAGGGTCTTCATCGTGGCCAAATCATCTGGGCTGCCGCACGACCAAGGCGTTTCAAAATCATCGGGTCCAATATTGAAACTTTCAATGGAAAACAGTTCCATTTCACCGGCGCTGTCCTGAGATTCACCTGTTGAGATGAATAGCGCATATTATTATTATGGTAACATGTTATATATCTACTAAAACTTATATGACAACGTGCCTGAACAGTTGTTGCTGTTATTGTTGTTAGGGCTGGGATTAGAGTCTTTGTAGAGGTTAGGCACCAAGCTCTGTATATTGTCCAACAGTTCGAATACACGTTTTGACTGCACATATTTTAATATTTTCCGTATCTTAACCAGCTCTGCCTCCAGGCGCCGGCAGGGAATCTTGTTTACCACAGCCTCGCCGTATTCAGAACGCAAGAGCTCGAGCATTAGGGCCAGCACGCGCTCAGCAGCAGCCGGTGGTGTGTGGCCAAACCAGCGAATTAGTTGCTTAAGCAGCAGCACTGGCTTAAAGCTAATTGTCTCGCCATGCTGCAGACATCGTATGAAGCGCGTTTCTATTTGCTCCAATGCACGCATGCGTATTTCTGTCGAATCATTGGTCAATTTGGCCAGCTGATGATCACCCAGCGAAAGGGTCAATCTGGATGATGTTGACATTCTGATGTTGCATCTGTAACTTGAGAAATGCACGTTATTCACATGTCTGCTACTGTTTTCGCCACTTACTTGTCTTTATGTACTAGTATTTTTTTACAATATTGGAAAAATTTTCACATTTACAAATAGATTTTCAAAAGAGACGTCAACTTACGCGCGTACAAAGAAGCCGGCCTTAATTTTAGACGCCGCTGCCTTTTTGAGTATAACAGACGTGTTATTTAACAGTGCGCTTCAACACTGTTAAAAATCCCGAATTAGTATTTATGTTAAGAACTAACTCTGTTAATGATGATACTCTTCCGTTTACACTCTGTTATCTTTTTCACATTTTGCCGCGCATTCAACTAGAGTTTCTGGAATGCTTCAAAATAATTCACATTGAGTGTCTTACGAGTAATTCCACTATTCTTTAACATTTTTTGTTAAAAACTTATTTAAAATAAAGTCAAAGAATTTAAAGTATTTATTAATATTTTTCGATATTCCATAGCCCACATTTCTCATGACTGTTTTTTTGGATTTTAATATGGACACTTGACCCCTGAAGGCCAATTACAGCTATTTGTCACAATATCGAAATATAGTCCAGTTGGGCATTTAAAGTTGAAGCGATCTCCATTCACGCACCGAAAGAATCCATTGCAGTCGCCATTCTTCATAAAGAAGCCATCTCTTGCACAGTTCTCCTTCACTTCCAGAGTCGGACTCGAAGTCTGAGTCGGAGTCGAAGTCGATGTCGGCATTGGAGTCGAAGTCGGAGTCGCCGTCGATATAGGTTTAGGTTCAGTTACTGCGCCACCAGCGTTACTACCACCTCCTCCGTTGCCCGTATCAACTCCCAGTCCTCTATTCATTGCCTTCAACAGGGGATAAGTCTCACCGCACAGACCTCGGAAGTCATCGGTCTCAATGGACCAGGTCATAGCGCCGCCCAAGTTTCGGGACTGCACCAATTGCATCTTGAGTTCGATGCTTTGGACGTTGTCGTAGCCAATCCACTGATCACCACTGAATGCGTAAGGCGACTTGCTCTCGCTATCAAAGACAGTTTGCCAGTTGTTTTCACATATTTCGTGGTAGCCCATGAAGCCCTTTTCGCGGGTAAAAGGTCCGGCCTCTCCGGGTCCACTGCAAGCTGCGCCCGGCTGATTTTGCGAACTGTCCGTCATCTGGTAGCTGTGGCCATAGAATCCAATGCCAAGGATCAGCTTCTCTGCCGGTGCACCTTAACAGACAAACATCAGTAAAAGAGTTATATTGGGGCTTATTGCTTACCTTGCCTCAGCCAGTAGTCGATGGACCTTTCCACCTCTGGAAGGGGAGCATTGAATCCCAAGTAGCCATCCATTGCCATGTGGAAGTCGTAGGTCATAACATTAATAAATGTTAAGTGCTCAGAAATAGCCGGAATATCGTACGAAATGGCGGCGGAGGCTTCAGAAGCGCCCACTGCAATGCCCAGCTCTAGGCCGAGAGGAGCGAATCTGGTCGGAAGTATGTCATTTATATGTAATATGGCTGGTTCTCGGTTCCACTTACGCTTCTTTAATTTCCCGCAGAAGAGTAACGAAGTTCGCCCGATCTGCAGAGCTTCCACCGCGCTGTCCAGGATATTCCCAGTCCAAGTCAAGTCCATCAAAGCCATGTTGCCGGATGAATGCCAATGTGGAGGAAATAAAGGTCGCCCGCTTGGCTGGATCAGCTGCCATGGCCGAGTACTTGGCGGAGCCTTCGTTCCATCCACCCACAACTGCCAATACTTTCAGCTTGGGATTTCGTTGCTTCAGCGCAATTGTCTTGCTTATGAAACCTAGATCAGGCATAGGCTGCCGGATCAATAACAACTCATTGGCAGATCCGAGAGGTACTTACCGAGGCCATCATCCATATCAAGCCATGTGTCCAAGGACTTAAACTCTCCCGCGTCGCTGATGCCAAAGAACGTGTAGCTTATGTGGGTGCAGAGGAATGGATCGATGTTCGAAGGCTCGAACTTACCGTTCCCGGGTCGATAGTTGGCCCAGGTGCCCCAGTAACAGTTGAGTATCTCTGCAGGACACGCCCAGGTGAGAAACAATTGGCTTAAAGAAGGTATTCGCACTTACTGTCACTGGAGGCCATCTGGCCGAGGCAAACAAAAAATAATACCAGGCACGCAAGCGTCTTCATGTTGGCACTGTAACTCGGCTCACTTTGTGGTTTCTTTTATAGTCGCTTGACTTATCTGGTCCATAATTATCTCAAGCATTTATTGACTAATATAATCTGCAAAGATAAAATTAAAAGTAGCATTAAGGCGAATTTTCTAATAACATATATTTTATCACTCTTGGAGCCTTAACAAAACAAGTTAAGGTGCCCTAGTTGGGAGTATCCAACCAACCGATAAGCAGATGAATACGAGCCAAGGCATAAATTTCAAATTTGAAGCCCTGAACTTGTTGATAATGAGAATTCGGTTTAAAATGACTGTAGTTCATATCCATCTGCCTGTCTGAGTGTTCGTATGCAGCGATCTCCTTTTTTTGTTAACTTATCCCATTTCCTTATTATCGATAAAAATCGGTATTCATTCCTAGTCTAGGTGTCTTGACTAGAGATCTCTTGTAGAAGCGTTGACGAATTGAAATATGATTGCAGCTAACCAAATCTAATCTTATTTTAGTGAACCACGTTTTCCCTAGAACTATACTATATATAATAAATTTGTTAAGTCAAAGTGTTTTCAGCGAAATGATAAAATTTATTGATTATTTGACAAAAACTTGACCTGAATGAGGGATGTGATTGTAAAAGTCTCTAGACTCGTGCGTCCCAAATTGACCTGACCGAGATACACTCGGCTGTGGATCCTGGTCAATTTGATGATGTTGGTCACACCTCCTTCGGTCTGTCCGACTTCATCCGATTTCACAACCACTACTTTCAGAAGATTGTAGACCGTCGTTCATGACTCTCAATAATCTATTGTTATAATCAGTATCGATAGACCAGGCCATAGCGCCTCCCAAATTTTTTGACTTCACAAATTCCATCTTACTCTTGACAACGCGCTTGCTATCGAATCCAACCCACTGATCATCCCAGGTTACGTATGCCGACGTGAGCTCCCTAACTTCCCAATCTTGATCAAGTATTTCGTTATAGCTTAAGAAACCCTCTTGGCAGGTAAAAGGTCCGGCATCTCCTGGCCCAATGCATCTATCGCCCGGTTCGTTTTGGCTTTTTCTCTTCATCGTATAGCTTTGGCCATAGAATGGAATTCCGAGAATTAGCTTATCAGCCCATGCGCCTAAAAATTTAAACATGGATACACAGCGTCTAAATATTTAGTGTTGTTAATTACGGACCTTGATTCAACCAGTAATTGATGGTTTTTTTCACCTCTGCCATTGGCGCGTTGAGTCCCAAATAGCCATCTTTATAACTATGGTAATCATATGCCATTATATTAATATAGGTTACGTGCTCCGAAATAGCCGGAATATCATATGAAATTTCAGCTACCTGCTGAGACGCACCGACGGCAATGCTCAGCTCCAAATCGTAATCTTCGAATCTATAGTGAAATATATTATCTATCTATAGTATATGTCTGTATGTTAGTTCACACTTCTACTGACGCTTCTTTAATTTCCCGCAGAAGAGTAACGAAGTTCGCCCGATCTGCAGAGCTTCCACCGCGCTGTCCAGGATATTCCCAGTCCAAGTCAAGTCCATCAAAGTCATGTTTACGGATGAATGCCAATGCAGAGGAAATAAATCTCGAACGCTTAACTGGATCAGCTGCCATTTTCGAGTACTTGGTGGAGCCTTCGTTCCATCCACCCACAACTGCCAATACTTTCAGCTTGGGATTTCGTTTCTTCAGTGCTTTTTATCTTTTTTATCAAACCTGTAGTTCGGGTTCTGGATCAATATCGGTCCATTGTCAGCCAAGGCAGGCACTTACCGTGGCCACTGTCCAGATCAAGATTCTCGTCTAATGATATGAATTTACCTCTGTCGTTGATGCCAAAGAAGTTTATTATCTTATCAGTTTCGAATTTCGCTTGAGAAGTTCATAATGAATGATGTCAACGAGCAGAAGCAGTTACTGATTGCAACTGCCCATTGCTTCAGCTGAAGCTGATTAATCAAGCGACATGCTTAAAGCTTTTTGCTCCAATAAATAGCAGCGTTATTAATAAATATGCGTAAGCAGACGGATTTACTAGTAAATACGTTGGATAACGTTTGAGCTATATAATATTTATAAAATAAAACAAGAAAGCTCTAGTCGGGGTGCCTGACTAGGAGCTACCCTGATCCCAGTCCTCTGAGTTTTTTAATATTTTCCGTAGTTTGTATCGAGTATTCAAAAAAAAAGAAAACAAATAAAAATCGACATTGTGAGACCAGGTTTCGAACCCGGATTATTTGCGCAACGTGCACAAACTCTACCAACACCGCCACTTCATAATTTAAAAAAAAAAATAAAACAATAACAAATTTTCCATCCCCACTGATCTCGAACCGGGACCAATCTACATACAAGCTGCGACTCTACCAACGCAGCCACTGCCCCTCTTAAGCAAGCTGTTGCAAATTTAAACATATGTAGCAGCTAATAATTCAGCACAATTCAATCGCAATTTCAAATCTTGGAATTGAACGCATTTGAATGTATGTGTGCACACGCATAGGAAAAATGCGTGCGCGTGGCGCTGCTGACATGTGCTTTTGCAAATGGGTCAAACGTTTTGTTTAATAACTTCTGTTTTACTTAATGGATTTAATTTTTCAGCATATGATCTACATATCCTATTGGCTTGGTTGAGATGCAAACGATTTCACATAATGGCCCTAGTTCCAACTAAACTTAAGTTCTAAGAATTTGGGGGAATTTGGAGCCGGCATCCAAAATCTAACAAAAATCAAAATTGCATAAAATATACATAAGACTAAATACAAAATTTGGAGTCTCTAGCTCTTAAGATGTTCGAGATATAATTTATTTACTGCATTTCAATAATGTTTTTATTCGATAACAATTAAATGCGAAAAGTTATCGAATATTTGAAACAAACTTGACCTGCGCGTGCTATACATGGACCTACAAAAAAATTTCTAGCTCTTATAGATGCTGAGATCCACGCGTTCACACATACGGACAGACGGACGCACGGACAGACGGACAGACGGACAGACGGACGGACAGACAGACGGACAGGGCTCAATCGACTCGGCTTGTCATCCTGATCAAGAATATATATACTTTATGGGGTCTGCCACGCCTCCTTCTGCCTGTTACATACATTTGCACAAAACCATTATGGGAACATGGTAAAAAAAAGTATTTTATTTAATTAGAATATTAATAGGGACAGTTGACATCTGAGGGCCATTTACAGATCAGTAAGTCAAGGTCGAAATAAAGTCCCTCCGCGCATTTGAAATCATAGCGAGCTCCATTCACACACTGATAGAAGCGATTGCAGTCGCCGATCTGCCAGAAGTAGCCATCAGCTGTGCAGTTCTCGCTGGATTCTCCTCCACCGCCGCCGCTTTCAGGAGTCGGCTTAGGTGTAGGTGCAGCAGTTACACCACCGCCGTCACCACCACCTCCTCCGTTGCCCGTATCCACTCCCAGTCCTCTATTCATTGCCTTCAACAGGGGATAAGTCTCACCGCACAGACCTCGGAAGTCATCGGTCTCAATGGACCAGGTCATAGCGCCGCCCAAGTTTCGGGACTGCACCAATTGCATCTTGAGTTCGATGCTTTGGACGTTGTCGTAGCCAATCCACTGATCACCACTGAATGCGTAAGGCGACTTGCTCTCGCTATCAAAGACAGTTTGCCAGTTGTTTTCACATATTTCGTGGTAGCCCATGAAGCCCTTTTCGCGGGTAAAAGGTCCGGCCTCTCCGGGTCCACTGCAAGCTGCGCCCGGCTGATTTTGCGAACTGTCCGTCATCTGGTAGCTGTGGCCATAGAATCCAATGCCAAGGATCAGCTTCTCTGCCGGTGCACCTTAACAGACAAACATCAGTAAAAGAGTTATATTGGGGCTTATTGCTTACCTTGCCTCAGCCAGTAGTCGATGGACCTTTCCACCTCTGGAAGGGGAGCATTGAATCCCAAGTAGCCATCCATTGCCATGTGGAAGTCGTAGGTCATAACATTAATAAATGTTAAGTGCTCAGAAATAGCCGGAATATCGTACGAAATGGCGGCGGAGGCTTCAGAAGCGCCCACTGCAATGCCCAGCTCTAGGCCGAGAGGAGCGAATCTGGTCGGAAGTATGTCATTTATATGTAATATGGCTGGTTCTCGGTTCCACTTACGCTTCTTTAATTTCCCGCAGAAGAGTAACGAAGTTCGCCCGATCTGCAGAGCTTCCACCGCGCTGTCCAGGATATTCCCAGTCCAAGTCAAGTCCATCAAAGCCATGTTGCCGGATGAATGCCAATGTGGAGGAAATAAAGGTCGCCCGCTTGGCTGGATCAGCTGCCATGGCCGAGTACTTGGCGGAGCCTTCGTTCCATCCACCCACAACTGCCAATACTTTCAGCTTGGGATTTCGTTGCTTCAGCGCAATTGTCTTGCTTATGAAACCTAGATCAGGCATAGGCTGCCGGATCAATAACAACTCATTGGCAGATCCGAGAGGTACTTACCGAGGCCATCATCCATATCAAGCCATGTGTCCAAGGACTTAAACTCTCCCGCGTCGCTGATGCCAAAGAACGTGTAGCTTATGTGGGTGCAGAGGAATGGATCGATGTTCGAAGGCTCGAACTTACCGTTCCCGGGTCGATAGTTGGCCCAGGTGCCCCAGTAACAGTTGAGTATCTCTGCAGGACACGCCCAGGTGAGAAACCATTGGCTTAAAGAAGGTATTCGCACTTACTGTCACTGGAGGCCATCTGGCCGAGGCAAACAAAAAATAATACCAGGCACGCAAGCGTCTTCATGTTGGCACTGTAACTCGGCTCACTTTGTGGTTTCTTTTATAGTCGCTTGACTTATCAGTTCCATTATCAATTTTACTATGCATTTACTAATCGCATAACCTGTGTAGATAAAAGTTATATTCATGAGAACCAATGACCCAATATGTCTCATAATCTTGAATAAAAATACGCATAAATTAAATTTAGACTCATGCCAAGAGCCAGTGCACCTGAGCCATGATAAATCACTTTCGTATGCTACTTGAGATAAGGCAGGCTAAGTACTTCGCTTCGACAACAACAGCGCCGTTTCGACCCCCACTAAACTATTTATTGCCGGCAGAAATATTTAAAAATTCGGATTAGAATAAAGAAAACTTGGCATATTTATAAACGGAACGAAATAATATAAATTACATTAGCTGATTGAATGTTTTCTTACCCTTCCTATAGGGTATTATGATGTGGTCATCACATATGTCATTGTCGCCTGCGATTCATGTGATTAATCTGAGCCGAGACAAAAGGCTACCAGCCACTAGTCAGGCCAAAGTAAGTAAAGGTAATACTACTTTATAAAAATAGTAAGTTTATCACCTGATTGGCAAGTAGCCCCTGCTCCGATACATAATGCAGTTTAGTATCGGCTTGTAAGACTACAGTTTATAGATCTACTATTACTGCATATAAAAGTAGTTCGTAGAACCAAAGTTTGCTAATACGAAAACAATGTCCCCTCCATATCTATTTACGTTCTTAAATTTACGAAAGTATCTGCTCTATACTTTTTTTTATCTTTTTGTTCTCTAGATAAACATTTACTGCTCAAGCGAATTCCCACTTATTTAATTGCTCATCAAATAATGATATAATAATGCCCTAATTGGCTACAGAGCCAAGGATTGGTTGGGAAATCAGTAGATAATTGTTATAGATATTTAGATTACATAAGAAAAAGGTTGAAAGAATGAGAAAGAGAATGAAATCGTGAGGGAGGGAAAGAGAGAGATAGAGATAGAGATAGAGATAGAGATAGAGATAGAGATAGAGATAGAGATAGAGATAGAGATAGAGATAGAGATAGAGATAGAGATAGAGATAGAGATAGAGATAGAGATAGAGATAGAGATAGAGGATAGAGGATAGAGATAGAGATAGAGATAGAGATAGAGATAGAGATAGAGATAGAGATAGAGATAGAGATAGAGATAGAGATAGAGATAGAGATAGAGATAGAGATAGAGATAGAGATAGAGATAGAGATAGAGATAGAGATAGAGATAGAGATAGAGATAGAGATAGAGATAGAGATAGAGATAGAGATAGAGATAGAGATAGAGATAGAGATAGAGATAGAGATAGAGATAGAGATAGAGATAGAGATAGAGATAGAGATAGAGATAGAGATAGAGATAGAGATAGAGATAGAGATAGAGATAGAGATAGAGATAGAGATAGAGATAGAGATAGAGATAGAGATAGAGATAGAGATAGAGATAGAGATAGAGATAGAGATAGAGATAGAGATAGAGATAGAGATAGAGATAGAGATAGAGATAGAGATAGAGATAGAGATAGAGATAGAGATAGAGATAGAGATAGAGATAGAGATAGAGATAGAGATAGAGATAGAGATAGAGATAGAGATAGAGATAGAGATAGAGATAGAGATAGAGATAGAGATAGAGATAGAGATAGATAGAGATAGAGATAGAGATAGAGATAGAGATAGAGATAGAGATAGAGATAGAGATAGAGATAGAGATAGAGATAGAGATAGAGATAGAGATAGAGATAGAGATAGAGATAGAGATAGAGATAGAGATAGAGATAGAGATAGAGATAGAGATAGAGATAGAGATAGAGATAGAGATAGAGATAGAGATAGAGATAGAGATAGAGATAGAGATAGAGATAGAGATAGAGATAGAGATAGAGATAGAGATAGAGATAGAGATAGAGATAGAGATAGAGATAGAGATAGAGATAAAGATAGAGATAGAGATAGAGATAAAGATAGAGATAGAGATAGAGATAGAGATAGATATATAGATATATAGATATACAAAAACATACATACATACATACACTGAGCACACTGCCGTAGTTGACACGAGCTTCCTTGGGTTCGCGTAGTAGAGCGACCTTTCCACTTCCCACAATGCCTTCAATATACCTAAAAAGATTAAAAAAATTGACTCAGCAGCACTCACACTCGTCACTTAGGCCAAGAACAATAAACAGAGTTAATAACTTATCTATTTTAAGTTACTTAGACTGATTTCTGATAGCTACTGCCACTTTCATTAGCTCTGCTGCAGAGTGGCCACTTGAACTACTTAGGTGATAATTAAATAAAAGAAGCAATATATTAAATGCCGATTACAATCGTCGTAGATACATTCCGTTTAGTGGTTTTTAAGTTAGGCTGTAAATATCACAGCAGCAGCATAAATAATAAAGGCAAATATATATAATTCACTTTAATTACATACTTGAAACTAGTGCAGGGTATATAATAGTGAGGCACTTTTAAAAATGTACTTGGATTACTAAGAATTTACTCTTTTGCCACTTACATGAGTAGAACTCATCGAAGCTTAAGAAATGGGTAAATGCTAGACATGATATCAGTGATGTGTGTGTGTGTGTGTGTGTGTGTTTGGGTTTGTTTGGATTCATTTATTTGCACTTAATAACAAAATATACCATTTTTTAAGAAGTAGGGCCTGATGCTTGCGGTACGGCCGTAATGCATTGCTAATTAGCTAATTAGGTTCCAGGCTGTCTCAGACTCCAGCATGGTATTTACTAGGTTCTCCACTGTGTTGGATCGGCCAAGTGTTTCCTCAAGACGCAGCCTCTCGCCCAGAGACCATTTACATTCAAAGATCCACGATTCCCATTCCAGGATCAATGTTTGTGTCCAGCATCCCTTCCTTGAATTGCTACACTTTATCTGCCTTGTGCTTGGGTAATCCGCGCTGCGGCCTCGGTGATCAGGTCCTCTAGAGGTACCATACAATTGAAGAACCTTAGGACACTCAAGTGTGTGTGTGTGTGTTTTTTTGTACTGCTTGTGCGTGTTCTGTTTGTGATGTATGACTGAAAGAGGCGTAGAACGGTGTCAGGGTAGTTTCTAGTCAGGCAGGCCTCTTGTTATGTAAGCAACTTCTATTGATTTTGTAAAAGGTCAGACCGTCTTTGAGGTTGTGTTCTACACACATATTTGAGCGAAGCTCACAAGGTTATGCCGTAGGCATTTAATGACAGACTTCGTTTGTTCTTAAACTTTAAATTTATTAACAATTCAGGTTAATTTTGCAAAAGTTACAATAAAAAAAGTGAGAATTCGAGATTCATTAACAATACAGAAATACGTTTGACAAGAAATAAATATAAAACCAAGTATATTCAGCTGCCAGGCGTTGCTTTAGCCGATTTCAGTGCGTGCGTCTCGAGGCGTCTACCGGGGTGTGTGACTATTATATAGTTGGGATCGGTTGCCCATCTAGTTGGCGACGTAGATTTCGAACTCCTTGTAGGCTAACTCCTCGCCGCCATAGGGTATGTAGCAGCAGCCGTGCGACGGCTGCACCTTGCCCACTGTGACGGTGCCGTCGTGGGTAGCGCGGCCGATGAAGAGGGGCTCGCCCTCGGATGTCTCGCCGGCTGGGAAGGCATTGGGTGGAATGTTGCCGGCTTCGACGGGCAGCCAATTGCCGCCGGCGGCGCAGAGCACCTCGTACTCATTGTGGCCATGCTCGCCGCCGCCCCAGGCGATGTAGGTCACGCCATGGGATGGATGCAGCTTGCCGGGAATGAGATCGCCCTCGTGGCGGGCGCGCGCTATGTACAGCTGCTCGCTGCTATCGAAGCCACCTTGCAGAGCATTTGGTGGCACTTCGCCATTGGCGGCTGCCACCCAGCAACCAGGGCCGCTGCAAGTGGGCTGTGTGAAGCCTAAGACCGGTGCCGAGGGTGCGGCTTCTGTGGAAGTGCAATGATCAAATTGGATTAAAATTCCACTTGAGGGCAGGTGAGTGCTCTTACCGTCTATCAGCCAGGTACCACTGGCACCCCAGCCTGTGCAAATGCCAACAAAGTTCACTGGAAACAGGGAGCCGGCATCGTAGGACAAGAATGCCGCAGCATCGCCCTCGTGTCCAACGGTGATGACGTTGTCATACCAACGCACCCAGAAGCCGCGGAATTCGCCAGCGTCCAAGATGCCAGGAGTTGGCACCTCGGCAACCTCGGGCTTTTGGCCATCTTTGCGAATGACGGACTTGCTATTCTCCCAGCCGCCCAAGAAGATCTCGTAAATGGGCGGGCTGACCTGGGGGCCAGAGGTGAGCGCCAAGTGAGCATCCTTGGCCGAACGCACCTTGAAGGTAAAGACACCAGCGCTGGCCGTAAAGAATTGGTATTCCAATTTATCAGGTGTGTTCACTTCTGCAAAACAACAAGAAATATATATTTTTAAATTACCAAGCATCTATATATATATAAAAATATATATGTATTAAATGGAAAGATTCCAAAATCAGACAAGATTTTTAATTGGAAACAGAAATAGAGCAGCAGGCAAATGAAATTGCTTTACAGGGCATATGTCAAAAATGTGAAAATATGAAAAAAAATTTATAAAAAATGATTAGAATATTAATTTAATATTAATTTAAGAATTTATTTAATAAGCAATCATTGCAGAAGTATCTGTACAGGGTATCTGCTAGTCGTTGACCCGTGTTGTTGTCTATGTTGTTTGTTGAATCTGTTGTTATTTAGAAGAGCAGCGAAACGACGCATTTGATTCGCATGATGTCATTTCGAATGGTGCCGGTGCCGCGGAGCATTCTCTCGACCTCACCGATGAATCATTGAGAGAGCTCAGCTCTAGATTGAAGCCCGTCCGCCCGCTCCGTGTGGATCGGGCACATTAAAGGTTTGTTTAGTGGAACATTTTGTGTGAGAAAACTGATGAGGCAATCTATATGTCTGTAGCCGTCTTTGCATATAGTTTAAAAAGCTGTTCACAGTCAAAAGTATCTATAAGTATATACATATATACATATATATATATATATATGTATAGTCAGTTGTATATGTTTGTGGCACGAAGAATGTTTGAGCAAAATTTCACATCACAGCGAATGACATCATTTGCCTGCAGCGCGAGGTCAAGCTAAAGACAATTTTTTGCTATTATTGATTATTGTCGAAGTTCAAGGCTTCGTTAAGATAGCTGGGTATATAGCCGAATAATATAATGTTTACAACTCGAATATTTCAACTAGAAGAGGGCCATGAATTCTTTAGCTGCTTAACACCTTTTTAGCATATTTTAAAGTCAATTGAGTTTTAGACCTTAGAGGTTCGGTCTTTCAAATGAAGTCGGACGTAACCTTTTACCGCTTTTTCTTAACTGTGATTTGGGGCAATGCCCCTATAAAAAAAAAACTATAGGAAACTGACGAATATTGAGAACTGTTAACACACACAAAAATTTCTTCGTTTCTCTTTTAGTTTTATTGGACATATGCCAAAAAAGCAACTTGACAGAGACTGAGAGACACAGATAGCGTGAGAGGTATCACAGCCGGCATAATAAACAGCAATTCCACTGGTCAGACCGCAAAAAATTTATATGTTTTGAGGTCAATCTATTATGCGTATTCAATTATCCATTGAAATCACTCCAACTAGAACTAACGCACGACTCACCAATTGGCATGATTGCTTCTTATTTGATTAGACGTTGTGCGCTGATTGAGATTCTAATTCAAACTGACTTAGCGAACGATTTCACATGCGAGGTAAACACCTGCTTAGCCACACGCTCAGAGAGAGAGAGAGAGAGAGGAACATGACAAAAGCTCAGAGAGTCTCCACGCGAGCTTTTTTGTTTTGCAAAGTACAGTAACAATGCGAACATGCCCTGGATCAGGCGTCACGAGGGTGAGGGGATCATTGTCTATTGAATGCTGGTCAGACTGTACCTAATTACATACATTTCAAACCTCTCCCAGTTCGCACACATAAGCTTACTGTTCCGTTTGCTATGCCAAAAGGCAGTAAATCAAATACTTTAACCATTTTTGGGGCAACGCACAAGAATAATCAATTTCGTCGTGGAGTGACCATATTCAATTCTATTTCTTTGAATATTTTTTTGGTATTTTAATAGTATTTTTAGAGCGGAAATCGAAGTCTTATTTAATGAAGTCAATTTTATCGTAGGGTGACCATATCACATCAAAAGTTGTTTTCTTTTATTAATTTTTGGTATATTCATAGTATTTAAATCATTAAGTAAATGTAGGTAAGGAATAATACTTATTTTAAGAACATTTTATAACTACGCTAAAGTAATTAGTGAATCGTTGCAGTTCTTATATTGGGTTATTTTTAGACATTCACAGCTATAGTATATATATATTTCTAACTTGCTCAATTAGCATGGCTTTAAAAAGCCATAGACAAATGGCTATACCTATAGCTAGAGTATTAACAATATTGTAAGTCACAAGGTAAGAAGAATACATATTTATATTGAAATTTCTAGATGTATCTGTACTGTTGCTCATATTCAAATATATGGAGACAAACATGTTTACAAGTTGAAGTTATTGAAAAGCTTGAGCCAATTGGAAGCTTTTGCTTCTTAAGCTACGTATATAAGTTAAATTAATATGTCGTCACATGTCGGTTTTATTATATTTGTCATGCAAAGCACTAAGCCGAGAGAGACGTCATCAATGTGGCACGCAAGCGAGCTACATATATATAATAAAGCTATAAATAACTGTTTCAATAACTTATTCAATTCATGCCTTGATTTTATGTCATTCAATTCTTATTTGATTTGCAATATTTATTTTAAGAGATGTCTAAGCACTGGAAGACTTTTAAAAAATAAATTTACAGAAAAAAATAAAATATTAATGATTAACAATATTTTGAAAAAATTTTGAAAAAGCTTAAAGAAATATTTTTGATGCGTTATAATTAAACATATAGAGCTAATGATAAATCTTGATAAATCTTCTTAGTTCTTAAAACTAGCTAAAGTAAAGGAAATTTGAGTTTCCGAATTGCATTGATGAATCTTACTTACAAGTTAGCTCAAAATATTCAATACTCCAATGCCAAGCACATAATATCTACAGGTATTTTTTGGTTACTCCAACATTATGATGCCCAAATGTCATCATGGAATACTAGTGCTACGTAGCCCAGCCAAGGTTGTTTCGGCTGACTCACAAATTCGCATAGTTCTGTTATGGTGATCTGTATATGAATACATAGACATATGCATTTATATAGATACTGACACACATACATATTTTTGTTCACTCGTAATGCTCAGCAGTTACCATTTATACAGGGTGTGCCAACACTGATTCTAGGTAGATCGTTTGCTACTTGTCGAATTGCCTTATAGTATTTGATATCTGCCGAACATAACAATAACACACATAACATGTAAACAAGATGTATAAAATATCAGCTCTGTATAGTAATTTTAACACATTATCAAATTTACGCTTGACAGGAATATACGACTAGAAAGTACTCTTACCTTTTGCTATTCTGTTTTTAAATCTCATTGGTTGAGATTAAATAAATACTATGCTATATATATATATCAGTATATCCAGCAATGACTGGATGGTTCTGAATTGCAGTGGCAACAACAAGGATATACGGAGTATCGTATTGCATACCTCGCAAGCATTTTGTGCAGGGTATCGACAAGTAGTTTACTTAAAGTTTCGTATCCAATGTTTGTTTTACATAAATTCTGTATAATAGAAAACAGTTAAAGTACAGTAAGCACAAAGTGTAATGAAATTGATACGCTTTGCTATAGTTTTATAAGTCATATAAACAAATACAATGGAATTCCACACACACTGTTCCTTTTAAAAAAATTTCAGTTTAAAAAATGTTACACACAATACGTACTTTAACTGGAGTTAGCGAATAATCTGAACTAGCAAGGTTTCTGTACCTGGAATTTATTTATATATATACTACTTTATTTGCTCTGCTGCTTTATTTATTCAAACGTAACGAACACAGCATAATTTTAGGCAGTATTTTTAATGGAACCTGAGACTGTCAGGAATAACACTGGCGAACAGAACTTGATGACGATAATTCGAGAGAAGTTTAATGTACTTTTATATCTGGGTATGTTTGTATATTTATATATATGTAGTTACATATATGCAGGGACTTACGCATGCTTACGAATGTTTGCAGTAAGAAATAAGAACGAATATTTTTGGATGATTGAATTTGAAAGTTTACTTTATCGAATGCTTACTGTATTTGGCTAACTGCAGCTGAAAGCATTTCAATCTACCGTTATCCCTTTATCTTTATGCTTTAGCTTTAATTTTCTGTTCTCTGTTTTCCAGCTGTGGATTTCAGTCTTGATTCGTTCGTTTGTCAGTAATCGCGCATGCGTAAAGGCTTTGCTATGTATTTAGGTACTAATGCATATTTATAAGGAATAAATAATTGTGATAATATGAATTTAGTTAAGCGGAAGGCAATGTATAATAGTCGATTCAGTTGAAACACCTAGACTTTGGCTACTGTGTGATCTATGACTCTAGTAGCATTTGCCGTGCTGAGGCACAGATTTTTTAGAATATTTAAATATTTAGAATTATAAAAATAACAAAGTATTCTAATTTTTAAGAAGAAAGCGTACAATGAATGAAAGTGCAGGGTTCAGGGTGTCTCCTAGTCATACACACCCTTCTGGAGCACTCTTACTTTTTGACGCTTACTACTGCAATATAAAGTTACGAGAATGCAATATGAGAGATGTGATGAATGGCTTTATCTAAATTATGGCTATTAGAGAATGAACAAACGAATCCACATATATTTGCATTTGCATATGCATATGTTGACAGTCAAGAAACTCCTCTAAAGTCAACTGCATTCGTATAAACTCAAGTAAACATACTCGTTTAGCCAATTAAGGCGTAGACCCATCTGTCAACAAGTTAATTACATTTTATTGCACTTTCCACTGTTTTTATACCCTGAAAAGTGGGAAATCAGGGTATAATGGTTTGATGTAAATGTATGTAACAGGCAAAAAGAGGCGTGGAACACAAAGCATATATATTCTTAATTCAGGCAGCGCCAAGCGCACGCATTTTTCACATACGGTCAACTGCGCCTCGTCTCTTCTATTCCAAGAATCGATATTGCGATTGAATTGTGCTTAAATGGTCAGCTGCTACCTGAGTACAAATTTGAAACGTTTTGTAAAATAAGTGCAGTCGGTGGTGTTGGTAGAGGCGGCCTCGTTACCGGCAAGTTTTAAGTTCGATACATTTTTTATCGTTTTTATATATTTTTTATATTTTAGTTATAAAGTTGGGGTGTTGGTAGAGTTGATGCGTGCTTCGAATCTCGGTGTCATAATGTGGGTTATTATGTGTTTTTTTAGTACTCGACACAAATTATTAAATAACTAATAAAAAAAACAGATAGGACTGGGATGAGAATATCTCCTAGTCGGGCACCCCGACTAGCGCTGTCTTACTTATTTGTATTTATTGCTACTGCTCAATTTGCATCGCTTTGCAGTTGTTTACTTAACCATTTTATATACACGTTTCTATCATCTTAACTGGAACTCACCTATGGTCTACTGTGCCATAGTCAAGGTAATTGTAATTAAATATTATCTTATAAAATAATGAATTATTATACTTATCGTTTTTTTATACTCTGAAAATGGTTTTGCAAACATGTATGTAAGATTTAGTTTCTTTATTATCGATAAAAATCGATTGTTTTGTTCGTGACTTCAGAACGACTGGGCCAGTTCCTGTAATGAATGCTATAATTTCTTGTTTTGAATTTTGGATACCCCTCACAAAACACATATATCAAATACTAGAAGCTAGAGCTTTGGCAAGTACAAGTAATACTATTTTTCATGGACACATCTGTATATCGTGCTCACTTGCTGACCAATTGAGCTTATCTGCTACTCAAATAGTAAGAGCGTCTTTTGTTCTAACTAAATAAATTTAGACTATTCAATTAACATTTCCGCTACTGATTCGGTTGATTAATCTGCAAATTCAAAACTGAAATATGCCAGCGTCAAGTGGACAACCGCATTCAATTTATGTTAATTCAGTTCTGTGGACTTTAGCTATTGCTACTATATGTAAATGCTTATGCCCTCTCTCTGCTGAAAGAATGCTCACATCATTTTGAGCAATAAAGAGTTGCAGTTGCAAAAAATAGTTTTCAAGAGCTAAAGCTCTTTTTCTCTACATATATATTTGAATATTTCAAATCATGTCATATACACGTATACAAAGCTACATTTGGACCCATATGCACGCATATACATACATACATATATAAATAAACGAGTCCCCCACAAGAAGCAATCGGATATTCCAGGAAAAAAAATAGTTTAAGCTCGATAAGCTTACACAATTGATCGATTGTTTTTTTTTTTTTTTTGATTTTGATTTTTGATAAATTTAAGTTGAACTTTTGAGGCACTCGTTTATATTACGGTATTACCTATGCATAAGCACCCAAACGCGAAGGTCATTTTCTTCACAAATTAGTATTCATTTTGAATTGGCTGAAACGTGCTTATTTATAGAGTTCGCAATTTTCACTCATTGTTTTGGAAACCTGTTCGCCATTAGCGGCTGTGTAGAGAGCTAACCAAGG